CAGGGCTTGGTCTATGGACTACTGAGACTGATACCATAGGAATACAGTGGACCAGTTTGGTGGTGCTCCGTGCAAAGTAGGAAGTGGAGAGGCCTAAGGCTGAATTGTAGCCTGTCGGACAGTGACAGGGCTTGGCAGCTGGTTGTGTTGGGGTGGCTTGTGATGTAGGAGGGTTTTGGCAATGGGTTGAGGGGGTCATGGTATCAGGGAAGGTTTCATCAACTAGGAGGCAGCTCTAGGAAGGTTTTGGCACCTGGGTTGGAGGAGTTTGGGCCTCTTATGCTTTCCAAGTGGTGGTGGCAGTTGACAGGTGCATGCCAGGGAGGGGTCCTGACAAATATGCGCCCACCCCACCCCTAGTCTTAAAAACCACAGAGCCCTGTGCAGCTGCATGTTAGCATAGGTCTGTAGCAGCCATGCCCTTGGGCTGTTTGGTGGAGAGGGCTGCGTGTTGAGAAATAAATAAATACTAATAAATAAAGGTGAAGAAACCTGGCAAAGGGAAAGGAAAAATGGGAAAGCTTCCCATCATGTCCCCGACGACTCCCACACATGGCTGCCTGAGGCTTTTACCACAAGAGCCACTCTGGAAGGAGAGCCAGGCCGAGGAAGAGAGAGCGAGAGAAAAGAGGTGAGCAAGCCACATGGAAAAGATTCTTATGGCCATTGAAACGGGGGAAGATTGCCCTGCCTGGATTAGATGCACAAAACATGTGGATTTAACCCAGAGGTGAATCAGGTAGGATTTTTTCCACTTTCATTATGTACTTGCCAGCAGAAATAGCAGAGAATTCACCCCCCTCCTCCTCTCAGTCAAATTCAGTAGCAATCACTAATGTAGACTCAAGTAATTGCTTGCATGTTATTGGTCCCCGCCCCATGCCCTTGTACACCAGTGCTAATCTGGAGTAACACAGTTGAAGCCAAAAGGGGTCCTCCGGATTTACATCAGTCCAGGTGAGAGCAGAATTAGGCCCATACATAGGTTTCCATCCTAAGGTCTCAGGGGGAGCTTCACAAGGGGACGAAGGAGAGTTGGGCACCCAGTTCTCACTGGGAGTTGAGCGACTCTCTCCCACTTTGAAAATCTTCCCCTTTGCCAATGAGGGAGAAGTATCACTATCCCCACCTGACAAATGGGGAAACTGAGGCAAAAGGAAGTTGGAATTGATTTGCCCAAGGGCACAAAGGAAGGCAGTGGCAGAATCAGGACTTAGCTCCTCATGGCCCCTTTCTCAGGATATAGACCACTAATAGTGCGCATCTTCGGTGTCAAATGGAGTGTCTCATACCCTGCTGTGATGGGCAGATGAGGCCCAGGTCAACAGCCTCTGGGTCCCATGCTTGGCACTGGACCACCCAGGAACCAAAACTCAGTAGCTCTGTGTGGGGCACAAGAGAGAGTGAGGGAGACAGTAAGATTGGGGCCTGGTCATGGGAGCCTGAACTGTCAGGAAGCAAACCAGGCCCCACTGCTGCCCAGGGAGAGCTGGGAGAGCATCTTCATTAGCTGTTATCAGAGCCAGGATTTCGCTGCTACCCGGCAGAGAACTAAAGAATGAGGGAAAGAGAGCCATTGAAACACAGACAGGGAGTCTCCCACCCCCAAACAGCCTCCCCTCCCACCTTCGTACTGCCCCTTCTACAGCCCCCCTCCCTGGAGATGCAGCTAGAGGGGCTATTACCATGGGCACACAGCCCATTTGCCTGGGTACATCACTGTCTGGAAGGTCTTTCCTGCTTGGTGGCTTCAGCTCTGAAGGAGGAAAGGCTCAGGGCGGTGGGAGACAGGAAGTTGTCTACATCCTTGGGTCCAGCTTAGCCCGAACATATGATTTGTTTTGCGTGCCTGTTTTTTAAATACATTTCTTCCCAAACCTGTAGTTAAGGAGTCGAGAGACGCCTATGGCAGCTCTGAAGAGGAGTCGATGCTCAGGTGAGCCCCCACGCCTCCCATTAGGTACTGCTGCTGTGACCGCCCTCTCCCATTGCATATCCTCCGCAGGCTTGAACCTAGCCTCTTCAGCATCAAACGCTACCACTTCAGCTAAAGGAGTGACACTGGCTGCAGTAGTAGGCTGTTCTCCTGTCTGTGGACTAGCCACTAAAGGGGGACACCACACATACACTTTACAAGTGGGTTCTACTCACAGTCTTCTCTCAGGCTTAGGCCACGTCTGCCATAAAACTAGCTGCAAAGCCCATTGAAATCAGAGGAAAGATTCCCATTGCCTTCAATATGCTTTCGATCAGACCCATAGTACCTGACACTACACGCCCTATTGAAACCCACCTAAGCCATGAACAGGTATCTCCGGGTGTGTGTGTGTGGGGGGGAGGGCAGGAGGTTGGTAGAAAACTTCACACCTTTTCCCTCCCTTTTTCTTCCTTTGACCCTAAAATAAACACCCCCTAAGTCAAAAAACAAAACAAAACAAAAACCAATTTCTTTCATAGAAAGAAAACAAAATAAGGCCAAATTCTTCCCTGGGGTCCCTCCACTGGCTGCAATGGAGTTGTATCAGGGATCATTGTGACCCATCAGGCCTGGTTTTATAGCTACAGTAGATGTGGAATAGCAGCATTTAAGAAGAGGATTATGGTTTTTTTCTTTCTTACTTATTTTTCTTTATACAGCTGGGTTTCTTGGCTTGATGTATCTTTCCCCCTCACGGTATGTGCCGTCTGGTCCCAAGATACATTTGGTCACACGCAAGAAGACAAGGGAAAAACACTGCGTTTTATTCAGGGCGGGCGGGACAGTTCACATTTGTCAGCGTTAGGAGATGAATGGTGCTGTGGTTTTTGACCTAAGTGTGTTGTGTATACAGAATAAATAAAGGTGGAAGGGAAAGATTTTGTGAAACCCTGTTTAAGATTGTGGTGACTCTTAGCAAGCATTTGACATTTGCAAAGTGCTTCCCAGACAGTAAATAATGAATATGACACCTCAGGGAAGCAGGCGGTATCACGCCTGTTACACAGTATGACAACCTGAAGCAGAGAGAGGCTGTGGCCCTAATTTTCCAGAAGTGGCCTTGGGTCTTGGGTGCAAATTCAAGGTGAGACTCCTTAAGACACCTTAAATTGGATGCCCCAAATCAGTGGCCAGTTTTGCAACATGAGGTCCCAATGACTTGCCCAAGGTGATAGATGGAGCCAGTCTCAGAAAGCAGACTGGTGGCACCCAGACCTCGGCTAAACCATCTCTCTCTCCTCTGAAGGATCAGACCTGGGACTAGAACTCACAAATGCATTTGGGGTCATTAACAGAATGCATGCAGTTGTCTTTTCACTGTTTGAAATGGGGGCTGGCTCGCCTCCTTAGGCTCTATGATGATGAATATTTACAATAGAACAAGAAAGATGTTGAGAAATTGGATATGGGCCTAGCTCAAAATCCTTGGTTCTGTCGGGGGGCGCCCCCAAATGTCAAGCTGTTTGAAATCTGAACCCCAGTCTGAACGTGGCAGCTTGAGGCCCATCTCCACTGCAGATCCGTTCCTCATTTCACCCACCTGCCACAATTTAGGCTCAAGATTTCGTGTGTTCCCCGGAACAGGCCGTTGCCTAGCAAGTGCCTGGACTTTTCCTCACACTTCCCAAGCAGAGTTGAGAGCTAGCGATGGTGGGCTCGATTCTGATCGCACTCACAGTGGGGTAAATCAGAAGTAACTCTTGGTGGAGCTAGAATGCTGCAGAAGTGATGTGAGGCCAGAGTCAGGCTGGCCGGTTCTCCCCAGGGACACTCAAAACCCCTAACTCATGTCTTTGCATGAGCGTTAAAAGCAGGGACAGATTTTAAACTACCTTACTCCAATGTATAAGGGCTAAATTCTCTGCTGGCGTAATCCCATTGAAAGTCAATGGACTTGCACCAGCAGTGAAGTTAGCCCCCAATGATTGTTAAACCCACACTTGTGCTCTGTGGTATTCAGGCTCTGGGGCAGCGCTCATCCTCAAGGCATGCGAGCTCCTTCTAGAAGTGCATTAAGCGACCGGCCTAGCATCTGCCCATGTGTTTGCTCTCCCTGGATCATGAGTGTAAACAACGGCATTTATTTATTTATTTTTCCTTACCAAATCTTTTCCAGTTTGTTCTAAGGACTCCTTCCACTTCAGATAAGATTTTCTAAAATGTACAGCTGTTTCCCTTCCTTTTAAAGCTAGCGCACGACTATCCCTATCCTAGGCCATTTCCTTCTGCAATGGTTATTAGCCCGAATGGACAGGGATGCAAGACCAAGCCTAATACACAATGTATACGTTCTTTCTCTTTTCTAAACCACAGATGAAGTCACTCTGGCATCAGTCAGCCTTTAGACACAGAGTAGACAAAACTGACCCCATCAATCCAGAGGGCTAGCTTGTGCCTCTGGGCACAACTCAATTTAGAAGTAGTCCGGGAGGCGCTGGGCCTCAGAAACGTGCCTCTGGGGGA